TTTTTTTTTTCCTTTTCTTTACTAGTCTGGTAGGCCTGTGAAAAATTCACGTAAGCTGCTTACGTGTGCTCAGCCCATGGTATTCTTTAGTCAAAGGTGAAAGAATAGTACTCCCACTGAGCCTGTACGCAGCCATTGTCAGTTGTAGTATTTCGCTCATCGCTTTGACCGGAGTTCGAACTCAGGTCTGTATTTCAAACGTTCAGTTCAGGTGTGTACCAAACAACTGACAGCGTACTCACACTGCCACTATCTTAAACCACCAGTACTTCGGCACTGCGCGCCGCGCCGGCCGCCCAAATCTCGAAGCAGCGCGGGCTGTCGATTCGATTTATCAACGGCCCGCCGGCCGCGGAATTCGCGTAGCGTTAACGCTAAGGCGTCGCCCAAGTACTGGTGGTTTAAAGAAATCTACCCAACCGCATTTACGGCCAGACTTATATGCATCTGGAATTGTAGTATTTTGCTCATCTGCTTCGAGTGGAGTTTGAACTCAGGTCTGCATTTCAACGGTTCAGGGGTGTACTAACTGAGGGCGTACTCACACTACCACTAGCTTAAATGTACCGGACCGTGCCGACCGCATTTACGGGCAGACTTATGCATCTGGTCGCACATTCTGTCCAGAAAAGTGCTTGTGCGGGTATGCGCTGAGTGACGCCAGTTGGTAGCTGGTGTGTTCAAGTCGGGATTATAGTTTTCTTTTTTTTGGGGGGGGGACCAAAAAGGCTTAGCGTTCTGGGGTCACAATATTGCATGCTCCTGTACCATGGCCCTCCTTCGCGTTTCATCTCCTCGCTCCCTCTGGGCGGGGTCCGACTCGTTTTGCTAAAGCACCAGTACATGGGCACCTGCGCCTTGGTCTATCAAGCCGTAACGAAAACTCGACCACCAATCGAATTGGGCGCCTTGGGCCTGCTTTCCTTCCAAACTCATTCCAGAGACTTCAGAACACATCTTTTTGCAATGTCCAGGGTCGGTACGGCTATGGCGCTGGTGGGATAGGATTTGGAGTCACCTAGGAACATCCCTCCCTTGGCCATGGAACTGGAAAGCTCTATTTCTTGAAACATGGAACCCGCCAGAAGTGGATAACTTCACAATTAATTTATTTAAGATTGGCAGGAGGGCGGTTATCTGGGCACTATGGGTTCGTAGGTGTACCTATGAGATGGAAGGTGCTCGGCTTGATGGTCCTGAATTTACTGATACCATCAAACAACAATTCCAAGTTGAAATCACAACTAGATGGGAAACTCTGAAGGAAAAGCTTCAATTTTTTTCCTTGGAAAAAGACATCAGACAACACATCCAAACTTTCAATCAAGACTGGCTTGGCGGGGAACAAGGAGGGAGAGTGGGTCAGGTGGAATGGGAAAGAAGGCAGGAAAATACCTCCGGAAAAATATCATGGAATTACCGCCTAACCTTTAATGATTGGAGTAATATGGATCCCAGCATTCCAATGAGTCCACCGTCAAATTTCCCAGATCCCTTTCCCCCTTCAGGTCTGCCATTGGTTCCATGTTCATGGTATGCACTGGCTGCTGTTTGAATTCCTGCTTCCTCTCTGAGCATGACCTGTGTCAGCTCCCGGATATAGCAGGATGGAAGGTTAGAATACTTGCACAAGTTCCTTACCTACTAGGGAGTTTGAATTTCCATGCTACAGAAGAATACAGTTCAGAAAGGAAGCCGGGCCCGGATCCCAGCAGAGAAGAGGCTCTATGAGTTGGAAGTGCTAAGTGCTAGGTGGTCAAGCATATCTGGTGCCCGCTCAGGGTGAAGAGGCGCAGGAGCCAAATCCTCGTATCCTTTCCTATTCCCATGTTCATATCTGATCAGAAGGGATGCTGGGCCCGGTTCCCAGCATGTGCTGCTCCTTGTCTTTTCAGTGATAATGATGTAAGGGACACTGGACCCGTTTTCCAGCAGGTGCAAAAAAAAAAAAAAAAAAAAAAAAAAAAAGGGCACCTTGGGCCTGACAGCTCAGATTCTGGGCCCAGCAGTTGACGTTTCGACCTCGTTCTGTTGTGGTGACAAGTTTCGGTGATGGCATTAAGGTATTCTCATCATTGAACTGACCCCCCCCCCGCCCCCCCCCCCCCCAATATACCCACTCCAAAACCATGTAAATGGCAAATCATCCAGGGCCAAGATAAATTTGGTTGTCCAAAAGAGGCTGGGTGAAAGTACGCTCCACCACCAGGTCCACCGCTGGGGGAGCTATTCCCTTTAACCGATAGGGAGAAAGTACCATGACGGAACGGTGAAAAAACCTCCTGAGTGGAGTGAAAGCGAACATCACACCGTAGGCCTTCAAGCAGTGGGAGTAGAATTGTATCTTTGACAGCGTGCCTGCTGAAGAATGAGCCCGCGACTCATAGTCTCATAGGCAGTGGCTTGGTTAGACCACCAGTACTTGCCCCAGCTATCGGCCGCGGAAAAAAATAAAGTAGGAACATTTCTAGTCGGATGAATTTGGACGCTCCTGTAGTGGCAAGTAAGTTTCCAGGAATTGTGG